GTGTATAGAATTCAGAGGTTAGCAGTGAATATTTCGAAGACAGTAGGGAAGCGTTGTTCAGGTTAGCAGTGGATATTTTGGTAAAAGTAGCAGAGCGTAGTTTGTCTTTCTGTTTCTCTTCGCCTGACAAGCTGAAACTGGACATTCGGTTAGAGTAGACAAAATGGCCACCTTTATACAAGACGGATTGAATATTCTACGTCTTCTGATTGGTTAACCTTCTATTGGTGGACTATAAAGTGAGTCAAGTAATTTGGGCTAACTCACTAGTAGATACATATAAACAAAAAACTGCAACATTTATTACTTTGCTTGGGGTGAAATGATTAAAAGAATATGCCAAGTAGGAGTAATTTGTAAAGATATAATATATAAATATAGACAGAAAAGTTAGACAAATAACTAGAATCCCGTTTTTCTTTCTTCGTCTTAATAGACATAAATAATTAAAAAGAGTGTAGTATCATATGCAAATTAAATATACCAGTATAAATAGAGAAGAATTGAGGAACATAGAAGGACCATGCCTGACATTCTCGGTTACTATTCAGGACACGGGAGACTGTAATACGACTACCATTACACAGAGAGATATGCAAAAGATAACAATGGCGTTGCCGATAGGATCCTTAAATTCGATGGACGACCCAAAACCATAGAAAATGGCATAATATGTAATTCGAATATAATAGTAGCTCCACAAATACTGAGAAAAGTATACGCCCTCTCCGATTCAGAGAGGTGTAGTATCGCATGCAACTTAGATAGACCAGGATAAAGAGAGAACAAATGGCGAACATAGCAGGGGGGGTCTATGCCTAGCAAACCCGGTTGCTATTCAGGATGCAGAGAGACGTGCAAAATATAACAAAGATAATTGTTAGAATAGAGTTTCGCTATTAAAGAATAACGGGATTAGATTGATATTCTATATTCTTAGTTTATATTTTTATTATTCTTTCCCAGGTCTCCGAAGATAAAAACGTGATAAGTGTGAATATTATCTTCAGATAGAAAGTAACAACCGGAGCATAAAATTAAGGAATTAAAAGTGAAATAAGACGGCAAATAACGAATTGCCACTCAAAAAGATGGAAACTGCTTCAAATAATCTCTCAAAAAAACAGAAGAAATAAGACCATATACTTGCGTGGATGAATTTCAATGACCGATGGCAAACGATCGAAACATTTTTTAAAAAAACTGCCAAAACGAAAAAACAACGCTAAGAAATGCATGTCGAAAGAATTCGTTTTACGCGACCACCGAGATGAGAACTTGTACTCGTTCAGAACACGTGGAGTTAACTGGCGGGAAAAAGCCTGTTAAAAAACATAAAACTGTTTGTGAAACCAGAAGAACGTCACTAACAACTCGTCTTGGAGCACTCGAAGAATGTATGTTATGAATATTCTGTAACACAAAAATTGAAATTCTTGTCAATTTAATTACGAAAAAGTTATGAGCAAAAACTTAATATGAAATGTCTGCTTCATGCAGAGAACCTATTTTCAGAAATAGTATTTCTTCTTACGAAACAAAGTACAAAGAATCTTCCTGGCATTGAAAATGTTCCATATAAAATACACCACAAGTTTTCAGTTGGCTATGCTCTGGTTAGTAAAAATGTCACTTTACCAATAATGGTCTTTGAAACCCAATTTATACAGATATTCGTGATGCATCAAAACCATCATCGTTCTGAAAACGTTTGGTTCCTTCTTGGACGTGTCCTTTTAAAAATATGAGTTTATGTCTGAAAAGCTATCTGGAAATTCCCGTGTGACTATCACTTAAACATAGAATCTAACTAAAAAACATAAATCTACTTTCTTCTTTTATTATTTCATTATCTCAAGACGGTTTACGACACCAATGGCTTGTTCTATCCATTTGGCACATCGCGTTTTGTCTAGAAATGGAAAATTGGGAAATCAATCTTCATGTATTTTCTTGACTTTTTTATTCAATTCTCTTTATCAGTCTCTTTGAAAGCAGATCGAATGGACGATCTCAAATGTTTTGTGACTGGATTTAAAACCCAACTGTGTTATAATGTTTAAAAATACGGATATTTTTTATAACTATTGAAATGGACACGGATGGGAAAGAGGTATCATATCAGGGGACTATCTTCAACGGAATTTTCACAGTTAGTTTTAGGCCATAACTAAAATGTCAAACTTTTTTTTATAAACGCTTAGAAGTTCAGAAGTTATTATGTATTTCTGGTTAACACATACGTCGTCCTTACGAATCATTGTAAAGCTTTAAACTCGCAACATTGATATTGGTGATTTCGAAATTCAGAACATTTCCATCCGATCAGAAAAAACCTGTCCAGGCAATTACTGCCACCCTTCATCAACTAAACAATCAGATTCCAGTAATTATTCATTTTATATATCGATAAGACATGAACGGACTGCGTCAACGAGTATAAATATGCAGTGACGTAAACTTTAAATCAAGTGTCGTTTAAAGGTTAAAGGATATATTTTAGAATAGCATTTTCTTCGGAAAACATTGTAAAAATCGGTTTCTCCTCTTTGAAGTTTCATTTTGTTCATGTTATTGAACAGAAAGTCGAGCATTTCGAATTGTAGCTGAGCACTTCGCGTCGACTGGGAATTTTCTTTTAATATTAAATACCTCCGAAACCAAGCTAGACACTTCCCATCAATAAGGAAATGAATGCTCCAGTCTATTTAATCTTTTCCAAGACTTCACATGTACAAGCATAGATGTGATGAGATGGGAATTGATCATTTAAGAATTTCATGCCACATTCCAAACGAATCTATAAATAGAAAACAGAGATCCTTTTTAGTCATTGTTGGGATCAGAATCATCTTGAAAAGAAAATCAACATTTACCAAGTGTTTGAATAAATACGACTCAAGATAAGTCATTCTGAAACACAAACTATCACCTGAAATTAAAATGAAAGCATCAACACTCATTCCATTATAAATATTCAGGATGGGGATTTAGTTAATAGCTAACACTTCAAATAGCTCGATGAAAGAATTAGTTATATCGAATTTAGGATAGGAGATAAGGAAATTGAATACCCTGTTTGAACTGAAAACTTGAGTCATATTGTTAAATAGCCTACACAAACCGAGATTTCATATGAGTATCATACCCGCCGACAAACATCTAAAATTCCAGCTCTATACATCTGCTTTCTCAAATCAATCACTGTGAACGAGTGAAGCTTCTGGGTGTTGGAAAAGTCAATCTTTCGTCCGATCTCTTGTTGACTGCCTCTACAGAATATCTAATAAAAAGAACTGCACCAGATCACAGAAACAGCAGCACTTGAGGACTTTCGACAATGGCAACGACTGAAATGGAGAACACATGTAACTGGAAGAAAGAACAATGATATACTGACCTTCTTCACTACTTCAATCATAAGGTTAGGAAGGAAATTCCCTTCAATACTGAAACACCCGATAACAACCCATGTCACTGAGAAAAAAGACGTTGACATTGGATGCTTGATCAATGAATGCCGAGTGTTTCCTTATAAGAAGGCGGCTAATATTGGTACTCGGACATTTGGCCAACGGACATTTGGCCAATGGACATTTAGCCGACGGACATTTAAGCGAATTGACATTTAGCCGAAGTGGCATACTTAAATGTATGTCACACTCTTTTTTCGTAATGTGCTAAATATATTTATATTTATATACTGTATTAATTTAAAATTTTTCTTTTTTTTAAATCTGTTCTGTATATATTATATTTGGCTTCAAATATTACTGTAAGATGATAAGTATTTTGAGAAAAATCATATTTTAATGCAGCAAAAATCTTAAGCTTTTACGAAAGATCTTTCAATTTCGCTTTTAATGATCATTATCTTAAAAGGATGAATTAACTTTTATCTTATTGTTAAATATGAATTTAAATATTTAGATACTACTTTTTTTACCCAAATACACACAAATATTTTTAAAAATACTAATTTCATTAAACAAATATTAAAATAAGAAAACATTTAACTTTAAATTTAGATTTAGTAATTTAATCACTTGAAATTCAGTGGAAATTATTAGGACTATTTTACCTAATAATTAAAGTGTTGCATGTTACTATTTTTACTTGTACATTTTCGGTGAAATGTCCGTCGGCCAAATGTCCGTCTGGTGAAATGTATCACCCAAATGTCTCTCGGCCAAATATCCGTTCGGCCAAATATCCGTTCGACCAAATGTCCGTTCACCCAAATGTCTCTCGGCCAAATATCCGTTCGGCCAAATATCCGTTGGCCAAATGTCCGTTCGGACAAATGTCTCTCGGTCAAATATCCGTTCGGCCAAATATCCGTTCGGCCAAATATCCGTTCGACCAAATGTCCGTTCACCCAAATGTCTCTCGGCCAAATATCCGTTCGGCTAAATATCCGTTCGACCGAATGTCCGTTCACCCAAATGTCTCTCGGCCAAATGTCCGTTCGGCCAAATGTCCGTTTGGCCAAATGTCCGTTTGGCCAAATGTCCGTTTGGCCAAATGTCCTTCGACCAAATGTCATATCTGGACTAGAGTTACACGATCTTCACTTTCCAGAATTTCAGAGTGAGTTCAAAAGCATTTACGCGGTTTTTCTGGGTGACTAATTATTTTCCAACTCTAAAACCCTATCCCACAGATGCAACCTCGCAAGCCAAACTTTGTCGCCATTTCCATGGTAAATATTCAGACGAACTAGATTCCAGAAGTTCAGAAAATTATATCTATGACCCGCTATGCCATATCTACTGGATAGAATTATATCTATGACCCGCTATGCCATATCTACTGGATAGAATTATATCTATGACCCGCTATGCCATATCTACTGGATAGAATTATATCTATGACCCGCTATGCCATATCAACTGGATAGAATTATCTCTATGACCCGCTATGCCATATCTACTGGATAGAATTATCTCTATGACCCGCTATGCCATATCTACTGGATAGAATTATATCTATGACCCGCTATGCCATATCTACTGGATAGAATTATATCTATGACCCGGTATGCCATATCTACTGGATAGAATTATACTTATTCCATTCGTATTCCACTCAGAAGCTTCTTCTCGACAATAAATATCTTGGGAATCTGTTATATACGGTACTTATGAACACTAATGATTATGTCCCAATCCTCATAAATGCGTTGGATACTATTGTAAGTGGGGGCAAATGCTGTCTCTGTGGTCCACCACTAGTAGTTGTTTACCTGCTTCACGCTGCTGGCGAGTCTTGTATTTTGTTGATGTTATAAATATTACCATTTCATTTCCAACCTCCGTTTTGGTCATTCCTCATTCAGTATTCCTTTCTAAGTCACAGCATATATATATATATTGTCACGTAGCAACGATTTCATTAACCATATAGGTGTTAGGCTAAAGTAAAATCTTAAATAAAGAGAAAATTAGTTAGATATAAAAGAAAGATAAATAAATAGATAAAAACAGAAATTTAATCCAATGCTTCCGATTCGCGAGCGAATATATTCTATGATCAGCCATACCCCCCTCTTCTCTTCACAAATTCTTTTCTCCCTATCCTCTCTTCCACCCGCCAGCCAAGGGCCCGTGAACTTAGAAGTGACCCGACGTGAGGATGACCTGGTTCTAAGATTTCGCGTTTGACCATGAGTAAACTCCAGACACCATCAGGGTCTCATGCTGCGATTCACGTGATCGGGACGTACGGAGCATGCGTTGAACTTTTGGCCATCACACAAACACTGCGTGATTTGCGCCCTATTCTCCTGCGTACCCGGTCAAGGACGAAGGGAACCCACGTGACTGTCTGTGGGGACAGCGAAAACCAAAGAAGGATTTTTCAGTTTCCCTCTGACCAGCGGCAGTTGAACATCGCTGGGCAAAAAATCGTCAGACCGCCCACTGAGATGAGGAAGACCACGAAGTCTATCGACCAGTGATTGAAAGGGTGCTATTGACTGATCAACCCAACCAAATGCCTCTATGAAATGCTGGGGACCCACGAACACTTGCGAAAAGAAGAAGAATCCAGGAACATTGTCGGCCGGCCAAGATACTGATTTATCATCAGAACTCTCGCTTCGGCGAATCAAAACTTTGTGAAGATACCAGCCCGACTGCAAGATAAGTTGGTTCTTTTGGCTCGATCTATTTTCATATATGTATGTATTCGCTCGCGCCTTCTATTCTTTACTGATGTCCTCCCCTTTGTTAAATGAATGTTCTTTTTTTTCTTTCTTTGTTTCGTTATATATATATTTATAAATAAATGTTTAATTTTGAAATCCATCGTCTTGCGTCTGTTCTTCGTTGATTCCCTTGTGTCGCTTCCATTTCTGAGTGAAGACCGAGAAAAGAAACCACGTTTTCCTTTTTTTTTAGAACCCGTGGTTCATCTATATGCTACAAGTTCGTAACAATATATATATATATATATATATATATATATAAAAACAACTAAAAAGTTGCAAATTTTAAAAAAATGTTTTTATGAAAGTATTTTTAAAAATACATTATTATTTTTTTTTAATTTGCAACTTTTTAGTTGTTTTTTCTATATATACATATTAAGAAAGTATACATGGCTTCTCATTATGCTATATATATATATATATATATATATATATATATATATGGGGGGTTATTATGCAAGTATATGATTGGTGTATACGGAATAAATTCCAATAACCAACAATTACTATTCTTAAAATAGTGCTCAATACAGAGTAGAGCGAGTGTCTATGTCAATGTATGTGTGTATACGTACTTTCTTTTTCGATATGTGTGTATAGTAACTTGCACGCATATTTCATTGTGTATGTATGTGGTTTAAATTTTTAAAAATTTCTTCTTTTTTTTTTTGTAAATGGTCGTGCAAATATTTCCTGTCTCGTCACTTTTTGTGTGTGTATATATCTAAATATGTCTGCGTGTTTATGTATTATAATCTGATTGTGTTTGTATTGTATTTCGCAAGATGTCATAATCCCATGTATACACTTGTATCTAGGTTGTCATTAAGTTAAGGGCAGTCAATCTTAACGTTTATTCCAACGTAATTTCAATAGAAACAGAATGAATAGAATAACATATATTTTTTTCTTATTTCCCCAATAATTTTAAAATTTCAAACTTAATATAGATTAAATTTACATTTTTGAAATGGGCAGTTTTTAATTTTAATTTCAAATTTTATTCGTACAATTTAATACTTATTAGTTAGAATAAATTCTATTTTAGTATCAACCCAGCTTTAAGGCATTTAATAGTTATTATAACTTTACTTCGTTATCAAGTTTCTTGAATTCTCGTATACTTGTATTTTGATTGATCATTTCAGCTCATGTAACAGTTTTACCCCTTATACGGCGTGGATAATTAATTTGAACCTTTTAAAACCTTTATTCTAGAATCTCCATTCAACATCACCACTTGATAAGACGCCAGAGGTGTTGAAACAAAATGGTTATTTTTGTAGTGATTTTATAACATATTTATGTTATAATTTTTTAGTAAATAATTATATATATATATATATATATATATATATATATATATATGGTTAAAATGTAAGTTTAAATTATGTTATATTTATGGGGAATATATGCTTCATCTTAGAGACAGAGCTCATGCAAAAAGTGGTGGGCTCCGAGTCAACATTACATGGCAACAATCTCTTTCATGATTGAACGCAATCATCTGGCATAAAATTTGCGTTGAAGCATGCAAAAGACTGTTGCAACTCATTGTTCACCAAAGTGTCACTTTTTAATAGATATATATATATATATATATATATATATATATATATATATGCGTGTGTGTGTGTGTTATATACCGTACCTATGAACACTAATGGGTATGTCTTAATAATTATAAATACGTTGGACACTATTATAAGTCGTGGCAAAATGCTGTTTAAGTAGTCCAACACTAGCAGTGGTTTTCCCGCTTCACGCCACTGACGAGTGTTGTATTTTGTTGATGATATAAAGATTACCATTTCATTTCTAATCTCCGTTTTGGTTATTCCTCATTCAGTAATCCTTTCTAGGTTACAACTGGATCAAACTACCGACAGGATCATTCCCCAATCACTACTTTCTTAATCTCTTCAAAATCTTCCTTCAACCTTTGTCTATCTTCATTATTCCTATAATTTACACTTTTGACCTCCTCTAAATTTTCTCCAAAAAAAAGTTCTCGTAACCCTCTATAATGTGTTACTTTTGGGCCTGGTATTAGGTGAGCTTTTATTAACAATATGGTCTCAATGAAACATGAAAAAGGATTTGAAAAGGATTTATGCATAATAATCTTCCGCCATGGTGTTATGGATATCGGCTAGGATTCAAGTCCGAGTACGTTACATTCATTTATGCGCAAATACATTTGAGAAAGTCATGAATCCATATATCCCCACAACTATGGGTTGAATATCAGTCTTTGATTCGTTGTTTGTTGTCAGTCTACTGCAGAAAGAAATGTCAACCTACTGCGAAGACATTTTCTGCGTAGTCAATCAGGAATTGAAAAAGACATGATTACACAAATGGTTATTGCGTAGGCCGATTAACTGACTGAATTTTCTTCCTCTTCATTAACATTAGACTCCTCCACCTCCTCCACTTTCTTAGGCCCATTAGACTCCTCTTCCTCTGTGACATCATATCCCTCCCCTCAGCGCCATTAGACTCCTCCTTGGCACTGCTGTTAGATTCCTTCACCAGCGTCCTATTAAACTCTTCCCCCTCAGTGCCATTATACTTCTTCTCAATGCCATTAAATTCTTCCACCTCAATACAATTAGATTCCTCCTCCTCCTCCTTAGTGCCATTAGGTTTCTCCTACTCAGTGCCATTACACTCCTCCTCCTTAATGCCATTAGGCCCCTCCTCTTTAGTGCCATTAGACTCAACCTCCTTAGTGCCATTAGGCTCCTCCTCCTTAGTGACATTAGACTACTCCTCAACCTCTTTCACATAAGCCGCTCGTATGAAGAATAGGGTCACAGCCTCAATTAGGAAGTTTTGCAGCTCTGTTTTTTTGTAAGAAATATCCTTTTACGGAAGGGAGATGTCAGCCCACGCCTATTTGTTTTGTTTGGTTGGTTGATTTTATTTAGCGCCATATCAACCTCTATGGATTATTTAATGTAGTAATCTAAATACTTTGTACGCAATTTTATTTTATTTTTGGAGATAATAATATTTCTAATGTTAAAAGTTTTGCTAATTAACCCATATCTGGGGGTAGAAGAGGTGGATTCATACCGTTCTCGATAGTATGTACGCACAAATGAACATAATAAACACTAACTGGAATTGAAACTGGGCTGTCCGATTAACAATTCCGAGCCATTATCCAATACACTATCCACACATCCAAACTTGCAGCACCGGGTATTCCCAAGCGGTCACTCTTCTAGGTACTAACAAGGTTCGACTCTGCTTAACTTCGGTGATCGCAGAGGAGCCGGAGTTTTAAGGTGAGGTATCCGTAAACCTTCAACGCTAGGAACTGTTGCTAACCACGATTATAGAGCCCATTTTCTGTTTCTATTTAACCCATGCCTGGAAAAACAAGAGATGTATTCATACTTTTATTAAGGTTATTTGACCGCATGTGAAAACAAAGAACTGAACTAGAATTTGAAATTGGCACGCCGATTCCACTCACCACGTAAAAGCTACGATACTCACGTATCTATATATAATCACTTCAAATAAAACAATACAGTGAAATCCCTAATAACCGGAATCCTTCATATCCGGAGTGCCTCATATCCGGAATCCCGTATATCCGGAAATGATTGTGATGTGTATATTTGAACTATTTGGGTGATTTGAGTGTAACTAATTTGAAATTTCTGTTTTTCAGAAAATTTACTTCAGATAATTCATTATGCTTATGGCTTGTATTGGTGCAAAACATGATTGGAATAAGAAGAAAAAGAACAACTTTGGAATTATCGCAAAAAGTGGAAATTTTAAAAAGACTAAATGCTGGTGAAAGTTAATTGTAACTAATGGCTGAGTTTAACACAGGAATGTCAATAAGATACAAAATTTTCCAAAGAAACTCTTCTCCAGCGTTCACACTGTGACAATGAACAAGGAAATAAAAAAACAGGATTGCGATGAAAGCTGGACTGAAATTGAAAAAGCTATTGAAAAGTTTGTCAGTTTTATGGAAAGAAAGCCAACATTCAGCTATGACGATTACAATAACCCACGAAGATTTAAAAAGTGTCTTTCGTTCAAACATTTTCAAGAACAAGTTGAGAATGACATTACAAGAGAAAGAGTCATCATGCAATAGATATTAAAAGATCCTCGTTACATTATTTTTTTCATTAACATTACATTTCTTTTTTTAAAAATAAATTCCATTATATTTCACTACCCATTAGCTTATTTAATTTACCATAAAACATTAAAAATAAATGTTAAACCTGATTTCAGTTCTTTTATTTTAATCTAAATATAACCTCTCACATCCGGACCTTGTAACCAATTCCTTATATCCGGAATCCCTCATATCAGGAATCCCTCATATCTGGACTTTGTAACTAATTCCTCATATCCGGAAAGCCTTCTTAGTCCGTTTGTCAGGGATTCTGTATATAGATTGAAATTTAAGAAATATAGGCGACGTATGGTTTTTGGCCCTATTAAAAAATATGGACGAGTGGGAGTTGAATGGTGGGTAGTAGTTTATCATCTCCGGGATTACAGTCTTTAAGAAAGTGTAATTCTCTACAGCCATGCGAGAACAGTTACATGTTTAGTTACATGTTTAGTCTTGTTTTCCACGGAGACAATAGCATCATAAATCATAAACAGTAAAATTAAGAAAAAACGTAAATGACATTGAATTATTCACATTCTGGTATCCAAACAATCCCACTCGCCAGAACAAGATAAATTGATTTGCAGAGAGCAAAGATTAGAGAAAGAACTGACAGCCATTGGCTTAAAACTGCCGATCAGAGAATACAGAAATAAAATAACAACAAATATCCCAGATTATTCCGAATTTGTTTTTTATCTAATCTTATTTTTGATTCGATGATTAAAAAAAAATATATAACCAAAATTCTTGCATTAGTTTTGTATGGATGAGTTGTCATTATGAAGACTTTAGGGAAATCTTTAAGTGACAATCATTGTCACTTTATGACATATATTATCTTGCTATTAAAAGAGAAAGAGATAAACGCACAAAATCCCCTAGGTATTAAAAAAAAATGGATCCCAATTTCTTATTTGTTCGGCAATAAATACTCTGGAAGTGTAAATGCGTATTACCAAAGGATACGATTTAATATTTGAAATAATGAAAAGTTTATTTTTTTACTATCGCACAGGAATGCTTTAGACCATAGGGACATTAGGGAAAAGACTGTGTAGCGAAGTGCCCGTTCACCGGCCATTTTTAATTTCCTGTTTCCTGTTTAAGAGCGGGTTTCCGGTTTCTTCTAAAATCTACTTCAATTGTATACCTGAAACCTCTACGCCTAAACTTTGTAATTTTATTTACTATTTATTTAATTTTTTCATCGGTAGAAGTAGATAGGTTTGCATATCGTCCGGTTCACACTCCTTTCCAGTATTTTTATCCGGAGTAGCGGTTTATCCCTTGTTTCCCTATTAGAACTGGATTTCTAGTTCCTTCTAAAATATTCTCTTTCTCTCCCTGTAGCCCGTTGCATTTTAGTGGCATCATCGGCTTGCTTCTGGTGATGTGAATAGTTAGTGCCTTGGATTGAGGAATCGGAGAGCCGAGTTCGAATTCCAGTCGAATCCATTACATTCCCTTACTTGCTAATACACTTGAGAAAAGTGTGGATTCTCTTCTTCTCCTTCCAGCTATGGGTAAATAGCAGGGCACACTGGGTTCTATAGCCTTGGATGGCAACTGATCTAGAAGGACAACTCTGAATTCAAAATAACCTGCGGAGGGTCGTTTGGGGAGCTTTTCACATGTAGTGCACCAGGTTTCTATATTCGTATGTCTGTGTGTGTGTGTGTGTGTGTGTGTGTGTGTGTGTGTGTGTGTGTGTGTGTGTGTGTAATCATGAAAGCGGATACGGTGAAATAAAATTATTACTATGAATTTCTAAAGTCTACGCTTTCATCATAAGTATATTTGCTCTGTAATTACATTGACCTCTTTTTGGATTTATATCCTCTTTGGAATTATCCTAATAATTATCAAATAACATAATATATATATATATATATATATATATATATATATATATATATATATATATATATATAGTTTATGAAAAACTTGGTAATCCGTATGGGTAAACCCAAGGAGGATAAAATCCAGAGAGCTCAATGTAAATCCAGAGCAAATAATTTAAATTAAAACTGACCACTTTAAGGTTCCATGTAGTAAATTCTTTCACCACAGCCCTTTTAAAAGACTAAGAATGTTATTTTCTTGAAGAGGCTCTGTGATGATCTTGGGAGCTATATCTTGGAAATCTACCTACCCAATGGTTTTCCTTCATGGCAGAATCAAACGTCAACACTATTATAAAAAGTTTAGCAAATCAGATTCCTCCTATGTTCACTGAACTGTTTCCAGAGGGAAATGCAATCTTTCAGTATGATAATGCACCAATTCCCACAGCTAAAACGGTCTGAATGACTCGACGACCATTCTAGTGAAGTAGACCATCTTATCTGGCCACTACACTCCCCAGATCTTAATATTATTGCAAATTTATGGTGCATTTTAGAAAAAACAAGTAAGGAGTCGATATCCTCCACCAACATCACTGAAAGATCTTGAGACTGTTTTGGCGGAAGAATGGACAAAGGTTCCTCTGGAAAACTCGTAGAATTCAAGCTGTAATTACTGCCAAACGCGGTCCTAACACCATATTAAGATAGATTTGTTTGAAATTTCCAGGTGTTTCCGTTTTGTCCAACCTTTGTATATAGCTATCTCTGTTTTAAAATAAACGATTGTGCTATTACGACATTATTTCATTTTCTTTAATTTTGAAATTATTTCAGCAAAATGGCAAAATCAAAGCTGCTGGGTGAGGGTAAAAATTGAAATTCTACTCAAAGAACGTTACTCTCAAATAAAAAAGTTGAAGATTTCTAGACATGCCGTGCAATAATTGTTACAAAGGTTGTTAGAAACTGACAGAAATGTTGATAAAAGAAGAATTGTATCAGCAAAAGTTACAATTACTGCTAAAGACATACTCTTGATTATTGGGAGCAAAAGAAACCGAAGGAAAACTCTTCCAGAATCGAGAGCTGAACTTCAACTGGGAAATATCGAATTCGTTGGCCTGGGTTGCATAGCCATCAAGAAATCTCTGTTACGGAAGTTGAACAATCAGAAGACTAGAACTGGATAGTGAGACAGTAGTAGGATGTATGGTGGAAATACGAATCCAAATCTGATCATTTTAGTTGCCAGTGGAGTGTGTATGTGATAAGAAATGACTGAATAACGAAAGTGGAGAAACAGTTCAAAACACTCTTCAAATGATATCCTAATTACCTCAAACAACATTTGAGAAATTATGACTTGTCTGTTTCAATCTTCTCACCTCTTTCCCATTGACTTAGTACACTATGATTTGGATAGGAGAATTTGAAGAGAATACCCGAAAGGTGAGACTGACCTTTTTACGTGCTTGAAGAATGCTTGAGAAAGACTTCCAACTAATGTTTTTTTCAAAAACTGTTGTAAAGAATGCCAATAATTTGCAAAGCAGTAATTAAGGCAGGTGGTGGTTTTATTGAAGAAAACAAAATATGATGCTGTTGTATGATAATTCTTTTATAGTTAAGTACTTATTATGAGTGAAATTTTATATTTTACTTAAAAAATACAAAAACATCTTAAAGGTTGTTTAAAAAATGTCGGATGTCACCAGACATATTGTCTATAATGCGCATATATATATATATATATATATATATATAGAGAGAGAGAGAGAGAGAGAGATCGCCGATTAAGACTTAAAATGATTTAACACTGATGCTACTACACATAAATAGAAAGTAGAGGGTCTGTTGAAATTTTAAATTTTAATTTTTATTCATTTTTCAAAATATATGTTTGACTATACAACCGAGGCAATTTCATTTATTTTGTTTTTTTTTTTTTTGTTAATGTTTTTATCACATTTGTTATTCAGTATATCACATTGTGATAATAGTATATCTGCCAAGAAAGTTGAAACATTTTACATCAATGTTAGTATACGGATAACGAAAATTGAGAAAAGTAGCAGTCAATTCTTAAGTTCTCCTGTAGGAATGGACTGAACAAATACGGAATACATTGTATGAAACTATGGAGCCGTGCTCCTGAACATCAATCACCTAAATGAAAAAATATATTTGTATTAATCTTATATGCAAATATTGTCACAAATCTATTACATATATCAGACATATTACCACACCCATTAGTAGAAGCTTCACATGTTACTTATCAGATCAAAGTGCTATAAAAGCATCTACCCACAATTTGCAAGATGCTTTAAGAAATATTCTGGTCGAAGACACAAGCATTCTATAAAAATCACATTACCGGACATATATCGCTATGAGCGAAAACCCTTTATATTAAACATCTCTGTCCTACTGTCAATCTGACCTTATTTAACAATGGGCATGTAGTAATAAAGTTGTTTTTCTTTTAAATAGAAAGACGCCCACTCGAATCGCAGCCGCGCTCAACAAGCGAAGACACAAAAAAGCCAGAAATAAAAAGCCCCTACTAATATTTAAAACAACACAAAACTAAAATGTATCTTAAACATCTTAAAATCCTTAATGCAATATTGACTCACCAAGAACGAATTATACTTTCAATGTAAAATATGTTTTAAAATTGTCTGCTGATAAGCAGTAAAGAGCAAAGAAACCAACCAACCAAAACTGTTGTAAATTTTGAATTAACTCAACACACATGCATACATATATATGTACACAAACTCTCTCTCTCTCTCTCTCACACACACACACACACACTCAAACACACACACACACACACATATATATATATATATATATATATATATATATATATATATATATGTAAATAGGTTTTTGTACCGAGAGAGTTGCATATATATATATATATATTAATAAACAATAAAATCCGAAATCACCTCATATGGGGAACCTATATTACTAGGGGGATAATATATTACTAGGATATATATATGGATATATATATATATATATATATATATATATATATATATATATATATATATATATATATATATATATATATATATATATATAGAGAGAGAGAGAGAGACAGAGAGAGAGACAGTCGATGAGATATTGAGAGAAATGTTATGTAAGGCGAGCAGTTCTACAATAAAGTGCTATCAAAGATAGGGCATTAACAGGATTAATATGAGTAAAAGTATGTCACTCAGATGATTGATGTTACCTTTAGCATCTCGACTCTAGAGGTTCGTAGTCGGACTTGTTAGACCACTCTTCAGGGTGAATCACTATTTTATTAGCATGTTTATTAGTAAATTAGCAATTGGAAACCTCAGTTTAACAACAATCAGTTAAGTGAGAAACTTTTATATTATATTATATATATATATATATATATATATATATATATATATATATATATGGCGGTTTATAATAGTCATCGCATTAAAATGTCATGCCCGATGTTATTGAACCAAGATGGAACTGACATAAGTGACAACATGTTATAAAACATTGTTTATGTTTTGAATCGTTTCTTATGTCTACATTTAGAAAATATCTCATTACGAAGAGTTAGCAACTCATATATATTGTGTATTTAGCCAGCATTTTTTTTCATTTTTAGACGATATGAAAGGAATTTGATTAAAATAAATAGACAAAACTTGTCTAAATTATTTAATGAAACATGCATTAATATATATATATATATATATATATATATATATATGGTGGACTCTCCCGTCGTATTAAAGGTATGAGGGTCAAGCGGTTCTTAGGAACCGGCAGCCCAGACACCAGCGCATATGATTTTATCATAGTGGTGAAGTCTTTATGCAGAACCCACCACACTTTTTGAAGGCCCGAATAAAGAGACCTGGTGCTCTATGTACCATAATATCCCCAAACAACCCTCTGCATATTTTGAATTCAGAGTTGTCTTTCTTCTAGACTTGGAAGGCTATATATCCCAGTCTGTCCTGCTATTAACCCATAGCTGGGGAAGAAGAAGATGATTCATACCTTTTTCATGGGTATTATCACGTAAGTGAATGGAATATATATTTTTGTATGAGGTATTGTAATAGCTAAGTTGAGCTTTTTTGCTTACATTTGGAAAAGATATGAAATTATGGCGATTCGACTCCGTGCATATGTGAACACTTCCCTGTACATAACGAGACAGGTTTCTGTTTGTAGCAAAAAGGCGATACAATTGTATATTATTGGCAATATGCGCTGTATATATATATAGTGCAAGTGGCTATGGTGATGTGTCATTAGTAAAAATGCCCAACATACTGAATTGACAAAGTTTTCAATAAACAATAACAAAAGAAAGAAAAGCACAGGATAACAAAATACTAAGCAAATCAAAACTCGGTAAAATAACAGTATTCAAGCCAAATGTTAGCAAAGTAAGAATGATGCCAAACACAAAATGGTTGCAGTCAAGTGACTGTAGCTTTGTGATTTCAAGACAAGAAACAACAAAAATATAGCTGAGGAAACCGACAACAGGTACATTTGATTAATTACGAAGAAATTCCAGCATTTATTTGGAGGGATTTATTTGCAGTCTTTTCCCTAAGGTTTAAAGCAACAATATTCTAATAATAATAATAATAATAACCGCGCAGACATTTTTATTAGAGACCACAAACAAAAAATGTTCCTCCTTATTGATATGACAGTCCCTGCAGACTGCAATGCCTCTTTGAAGATATTCAAAAAGCTGTCAAAACCGAAATCTCAAAATGTGGCACATGGGAACATCAACAATCCCTGTTGTAGTTGGAGCTCTAGGATTGGTTCGAAAAGATTCCAGTAGACAAATTGAATGGATTCCTGGAAGCCCATGCCTCAAAGAAATATAAAAAAATGTTCTCACAAGTACAGCCCACGATTTATGAAGGGCTTTATCTATGTAATATACATATATATATATATATATATATATATATATATATATATATATATATATATATATATATTTTGTCAGTGGAAAGTCTGAAATAAAAATCAGTAAGTAGTATACGACTGTTACAAAAAGACCATCTTCCAAACATTGATATAACGAAGTTCAATAAACATCGTGTGCAAACATTGTTTACGGACACAGAAGTAAATAATGCCATATATAGCTTTAGCATTAACTAAAAAAACTTAATATCAAGACAAATAAAACATTAAACAACAGACAAAAAGAGACGATTTTGAAAGCAAAATTAAAGCGAGAAATTGAAGAAATCAGGTTTCAAGAAATCCAAATGTTTAAACACAGAAAAGTAAAATGATTAAGTGGAAATATAAAATTAAATTAGTAAATGAAATTCTACCAAAAGGAAATACTTAAACGGAAACTGTAATTAAAGAAATAGCGAAAAAGGCGATATGAAAAAAAAATGTAGTTTCTATGGACAAAATAATACATTCATAATGGACCTTAGGCGGTCTTACAGGGAAATTAGAAAAGCAGTTTTAGAAGTCAAAAAACTATCATCTATGGAAGATGCGCAACATTTTAGGAAAATATCTGTAACAGCTGAAACGAATATAATCCCAATGCAGAGTAAATGAAACGATAACAATCCATAAAATTATTGCGCAAACATTATCAATTCTAATTATCAACCCCAATGAAATTCAAGAATGGATTACTGCATGTATTACATATATCGAACCGGACAATGTCTTTTATTGGACGAAAACATTACAGAATTTTTGGTGTTGGCATTGAATTTAGAGAAATTGCAAGTTAAAAGTATCCAACCGAAAACATTCCTTGTCGTTATTAAGCAACCAGCATGTCTAGCTAGTATACCGTAATTCGTCACGTATAATAAACCTTCATCCATAATACGCACCCATACAGTTGTGCTGAAAGTGTGGGAAAATGCTTCTACTCACGCATAATACACACCCCTTGTTTGGTAATCAAATCCGATAAAATGTACCTGTCGCATTTCATTACGGCAAGCGTATCCTACACTTATTAAAAATGGTTTTAAGCATAGAATAATATTGTTTTAATTCAGTTTTATGAAAATTCTTATTTTATTTTACATTTTTAAGTATTGTTATTTGCATATGATTGTATTTGACATCGTTATGGGGTCGCAATCGCCGAATGTTAGTGTCAAATTGTCGTATGTTTGTGGTGAGCAGACATTTCGCAACTGAAATCGACCTATGAAACGGCAATTTTTTAAAGATATTTTTGTAGCTGTGCATAATACGCACCCACTAATTTTGATTATTATTTTTTAGAAAAAAAAAATGCGTATTATATATGAGGAATTACGGTAATTGCCAACGACAGAGAAAGATAAACAGGCGAGACGAAGACAAATTCGAATTCCGTACGAGTTCGTTATATTCAATCTCGCACAAATACTCTTGTAAAAAGGCATGAATCCATCTATTCTGTAACTAGCGTTTAGTTAAATGGAAGAGCGAACCGGGATCTTTAGCGATGGCTGGCAACCAATCTAACAGAAGAACAATTCTGAATTAAATGCCGTATATAGCCATGGTGAGGCGCATATTTTACAGTCACTGAAAAGATAAGAGTTTAGAATTAACGGCGGCATGTAATCATTGACTATATGATAGCGAATGAATTAAAAACAAAGCACATGACCAAGATCAGACATTATGGTTTGTAAAACAATTAGATTTAGAAGTAACCTAGTTCGATATGAACAATTATCTCGGCATCTGTTGACGTGGGGATTATGTTGTAATGACAAGCATCTATTTTAACTTTAAATTAATCTAGAGAAATATCCATTCTTTTTCCTAATTAATATCTACAGGATATTAATCGTCATCGTTCTCTTATCTATCTATCTATCTATCTATCTATCTATCTATCTATCTATCTACTTCTACTAATATTTATCAGTCATTTGAATTATACAGATTTCTATCTATCCAGGTCTGCATCTATCTATCTATCTATCTATCTATCTATCTATCTATCTATCTATCTATCTATCTATCTATCTACGCACTTCTGCTAATATTTATCAGTCATTTGAATTATACAAATTCATATCTATAAAAATCCGGATCTATCTATCTATCTATCTATCTATCTATCTATCTATCTATCTATCTATCTATGTCAGCATAATATCTGTCAGTCATTCGAATTATAATAATATCAATATATTCAAGTTCGCATCTATATATCTAGCTAGCTATTCATCTATTCAAATTATGTTAATGTCTATACAAGTCCAGTCATATCTATCTATCTATCTATCTATCTATCTATCTATCTATCTATCTCAGTCTGTAAATATCAATCTATCTATCTACACATTTAGTCTTCTCATATCTCTCAGTCATTTCAATTATACTAATTTTAATATCTATCAATCTATCTATCTATCTATCTATCTATCTATTTTAAATATATTTTCTATCTATCTATCTATCTATCTATCTATCTATCTATCTATCTATCTATCTATATCAGTCTGTAAATATTTATCTATCTATCTACACATACTAAGTCTTCTCATATCTCTCAGTCATTTCAATTATACTAATTTTAATATCTATCTATCTATCTATCTATCTATCTATCTATCTATCTATCTATCTATCTATTTTAAATACCTTTTCTATCTATCTATCTATCTATCTATCTATCTATCTCAGTCTGTAAATATTTATCTATCTATCTACACATACTAAGTCTTCTCATATCTCTCAGTCATTTCAATTATACTAATTTTAATATCTATTATTATCTATCTATCTATCTATCTATCTATCTATCTATCTATCTATCTATTTCATCGTCCTCAATCGTATACTTACCGCCAACCGTCTCTATCACCATTAAGTCTATCCAATTAATGGTTTCCGATTCCGTTTTTAGCTTCGTGTTTATCGATGAAGTTTATTGCTGGCCTACGTCTTGATCTTTTGCTATAATCGTCTTTTCCCATAGTATCACCTGACGTACAACTTCTTTCAATGCTCTCTTAAACGTATTTGCCTTTCACCTGTTAGTGCCCGTCAATTCTGATAGCCTCCCATGACGCTCTTCATCCGGCATATGATGATTCCAACTAAACTTCAACGCTCGCTTTAAATAACTGACTGCACGAAACATCTCTAGTTCCTTCTTTTCCTTGTATTTTTGGTCATTGATTTTCTTAATGTCCAACGTTTTGCCTCGTGTGTGTCTTTCTTTCACTGTGATCTAAAGAATTGCACTTTCCGATTTTTTAATTATTTTTTGACATCCAAATGTAAATCCAGGCTTTTCAGACACTATTCTGGATTCTCTCAATATACTTATCAAACGTAGAAACTCAAGTAAATCATTCTTTAATAACAAGCAAGGAATCCGTTCTTTTATTTGTTAAGTTTACCACATTCTGTTGAAAGTCTCTTGTTTCGACGAACCCACCGATTATCGAATTATTGCAGAAGGTCATCTATTTCGGACTTGGCTAATACAGAGATGTCTCTGTGCTAATCGTAGATTCAGTGAAAATAAATATAAATTACCAGAAAAAGATTTTGACAAAACAAAATATTACCAGCAATAAAAAAATGCTGAAAATATATATATATATATATATATATATATATATGAATAAAAAAGACAATAGGAAAACTGGTAATTGCTGACGCGTTTCGTCCAATGTGGACTTTATCAAAGCAAAATACGAAAATGAAATTAAATGAACAACGTAACTAATAAAAACAAAAACAGAATGAACCTAGCAACTGGAATGTAGAGAAACGCTATTTTCATATTTTTTAAATGAAAAATGACGTCAGAGATTGTCACGTGTGGAGAATATTGTCATTATATCTGTGTTGATGTATTCAACCATTTTCTTTGTATTTATTTCTATGTATGACTATTGCATTAGCTAAGTTGTTTTTTGTGAGGTCTCTTTTGTGCTCATAAATGCGTTTTTTCAAACTTCTACTTGTTTCTCCAATATATTGGGAGGAGCAGTTTTCCTATTGTCATTTTTATTCATAAATATTGTCTTCTCTACCGATTAAATCGGAGAAATTTTCATATATATATATATATATATATATATATATATATATATATATATATATATATATATTATTCCAGTTTCGTTTTCCAACTTATTCAAGATGAGGTCTGCCCGCTCTAAATTTCCAACTTTCTGTCCTGGTGTAACAAGGTGCCTCACAGGTTTCATGTACGATTTTATTTTCAAGTCTTTTTTTTTCTTTGCTCATTGGACTGAAATTCCTCTCTCAAGGGCTAAACGTCTTATGGATTGAGTTGGATCTTTTCTAATTTATCTCTCTAACTCTAAGGTGAATTGATGACCTCTCTTCTTTATGTGGCTCCCTGATCCAATTCTTATCTCTACTCTTTCCTCTTTTTTTAAACGTATTTACCATTCTCTGGGTGATTATTGAATGGATTTGAAGATGGAAGCCAATGTACGATTTTAACCTGAATAACTCAAAGGGATTTTTTTGTGGTTCTTATGACATATGATGTCAAGAAGGCGAAACGTTTTAACTGAAAACCTCAAAAAAAGAAACTCAATTAGTTTCGTAGTTTTTTAGATATTAAACATTTTGTTACACGGTTTGGAGAATTTTGCTGTTACACTCGGTATATCTATCTATCTCTGTATGTATGTATGTATGTATGTATGTATGTATGTATGTATGTATGTATATATGTATATCTATCTATCTATGTATCTATCTATCTATCTATCTATCTATCTATCTGATTTTTATTATTTACATTATTCGGACTATTGTCCTCATCTTTGTCGCCATATTTATTACAACGTTTCGAACGTAACCCTTTAACTAACACCCATTAAATATGGCACGTGGAACTAGAACAGTCTATCCCAGTGAGCGAAATAAAGGGTTACGTTCGACATTCCAACCACCTGAAGAAGGCCGGAGCGTACAATGGACGAAACGTTGTAATAAATATGGCGACAAAGGTGAGGACAATAGTACGAATAATGTAAATAATGTACATAATACCTCATCTCAGAAATATAGACAGATACTATCTCATTCTGTTCTTATCTATTTGATAGATAGATAGATAGATAGATAGATAGATAGATAGATAGATAGATAGATACGAACTGACGGACCGTTAATGAAAAATATTTTTTTATGTAAACTACCCTAAAGCGATCGATAGGTTTCTAATGTAGCAGCACTCTACATTGAATGAGATAATTTTGGCCTTGTACCAGACTACCTAAAGATTACTAAATGCTTCGAGATTTTTTTTTTATATAGAGCGATAACTGACAGATAAATCTCATCGACAATACCCGGGTGAACTGAGTCAAAGCTTATTCTAGCCTCGCACAAACAAAACAAATTCACTAATATTCTGTCTAAAAATTATGGTTCGCTCACAACAAAATATTACCTTACTGAGGCTACATCCATATTTCAATGTGAGTCTTTATAATTATGTTCAAAAGATTGTCATGTTATAATTACACAGTGGTAAAAAGAACACGGGCCAGAATCACATATCTTTATATTTTATTTAACTACAGTTTTCATCAATTGTTTTCATCAATTATTTTCATCAAGTAGGTGTGTGAGTTTAAGTATTTCTCCGGGCATGGATTCTATATTCTCGCGAGGATGTAAAAGACATGTTTCTCTTATTTCACATCTGCGTGCTTATGCTTATACCTCCCATTCGGTTTGTTCCACGAGGGCACATGTCAATAGCGGCTAGTTTGTTTTGATTTGGTTTATTTTGTTTTGCGGCATATCAACGTCAATGGGTTAATTAATGCCAACAACATTTTTTATTGCTGGTAATATTTTGTTTTGTCAAAAATCTGTTTCTGGTAATATTTTCCCTTCAAAATTGTATTGCTGATAATAATTTTTTTTTCAAAAAAGTATTGCTGGTGATAGTTAACTATTAGCCCATAGCTGGGACCGTAACAGGTGCTACCACCCTGGATCAGGGTGGATCTGGGAACACCAGCAATTAAGAGTTGGTTCCACGCTCCTCAAAACCTCCTGATCAGAGGCCATGTTGCTGGATGTAGTTTATTGTCTTACCCAGGACGTTGATGTAGTTTAACGCCTTACCCAGAACGATCAATAAGTGCTGAGTTGACCACCTAATCACATATCAGAGATACTCAGTGGCATTCTGTGTGATAATGATCTGCACCTGACGCGTAAGAAGGTATCTCTTGAATCAATGCGATGGTGATTTTGGCTTCTTTCATGGACATTCAGCATTATCTGTGGTGAGCCGGAATATAGATGAACAAATTTGAGTAAGAAAAAGAAAACGATATGCCAAAATTAAGTAATATATAACTAGTCAACACAACGTGACTAGCTGCTACCGTACATGGCTTCGCAGTGCCAGGATCATCGGGTGGACTGCTCCGATATTTTCTTCAATGCGGAGCATCTCGTAGAGCCGTATTTGCTGGCTCGATCACGTCCTGCGACGAGCTGATGACCATCTCACCAGCCATGTATCAATTCGGCCCGGTACCGAGAGACGACATCGCGACAGACCACACAGCGGTTGAAAGGACGTCGTCTTCCAGGATATCTAGAAGATCATTCTGGTTCTGGATGAAATTCCAACATACACTTCGCCAAAACCGTGAAAAGATGGAGGGTCAAGGTAGCTCTCCTGAGTTCATAACATGATATATATATATATATATATATATATATATATATATATATATATATATATATATATATATATATATATATTCTTTGATTTCTGGCGTTTACACATTTCTTTCCGGGTCCCGGCCAGAGACCTAAGGTTAGAAATGGCATTATGGCAATTTCCACTGACGAAAAAAAAAATTACATTGATAAAGCCCTTCGTAAAGTGTAGGCCGGACTTGTCAGAACAATTTTTTGTATCTCTTTGAGGCATAGACTTCCAGGAATCCCTGCAATTACTCTACTGGAATCTTTTCCAACCTCAGTGGATTATTTAATGCCAACAACAATCCTTGGCTCCAACTACAACAGGGGTTGTTGATGTTCCCATATGACACATTTTTGAGATTTCTATTTCAAGGTCCTTGTACTTTGACAGCTTTTTGAATATCTTCAAAGATACATTGCAGTCAGCAGGGACTGCCATATCAATAAGCAGGCATTTTTTTTTGTTTGTGGTTTTTAATAACAATGTCTGGGCGGTTGGTTTTGATTGTTGTCAGTGTGTATTGTGTAGTCCCGTAGAATTGTAACAGGTCCTATCTCCGTAACCGGGTGTGGGTGGTGTTCATACCATTTTCTTTCAGTTTCCTTCCCGTAGAAGTTGCAGATTTTCCAGTGCAGATAGTGGCCCACTCTGTCATGCCGGGTTTTATATTCAGTGGGTGCCAACACCGTACAACCTGATACAAGATGATCACTCGTTTCTGGATATTTATCACAGAATCTGCATTTTGGGCTAAAACAATATTTTAGTATATGTGCTTGATAATTCCTAGTTAGCAAGCATTGGTTCTGTGCAGCAAGGATAAAACCTTCAGTTTCATCTTTCAACCCTGCACTACGTAGCCACTGATGGATACGGGTTTTGTGTACGTCAGCTAGTTTGGTACCGGCAGAGTATTGGCCTTGAAGCGGTTTATATTGCCATCGCTTCTGTATCTGGTCGGTTGCATTCGTCTTTGCTGTCTTTTTTAGGTATTTTGCAGTTTCAACCGGTGTATTGTGCTGTACTTGCATTTCTGCGTCCATCTGAAACTCCATTTTGAATTTTTTGGCTTCTTTTATCACGGAGTAAAGACGCTTACTACTTTCATGATACTTGATGCATACCATCATTCAGTCTTCTGTAGTTTCCAAGTATCTTTGGAGGCCAATTGTTGTAGTTTTGTAGGACAGTTCTAGTTGAACTAATCTTCTGCCTCCTTCGGATCTGGGCGCATAGAGACGGTCAACATCAGTTCGGGATGATGTATGCGGTAGCAAGTGAGAAGCTTTCTCGTTCTGGCGTCCATTCGTTTATTCTCAGCTATGGTCCAGTTAAGGATATTAAAGCTGTATTGCACCAAAGGGACAGCTAATGTGTTTATGGCTGATATTCTGTTTTTTTGAGTTAGCTCAGTATTTAGTACCAGACGTACACGCCTGTAGTACTCCTTTCTTATTTTCCCTTCAGTTGGGGGTGTTGTATGCCATCTCCTTCGCTAATTCCTAGGTACTTTTAACCTTCATCATGCTCCATTTCCCTAATCTTTGTGACAAAATCTAAATCTATTAAGTGTGTTTCTGTAATTCTACCTTTCTTGAATGTTACTTTTGCACATTTATCCGAAGTCTATACCTATGTCGTCACTGAAGTATTTTACAATATTGAGGAGACCATTCAATTCATTGTCGTCTTTGGCAAAGAGTTTGAGATCATCCATGTAGAGTAGATGATTCAATATTTTCTTATTTATTTTGTAACATAGCTACTGTTGTTTAGTTCATGTGTAAGGGGGGTTAAGGACAAACAAAACAGAAGGGGTGACAGGGAGTTTCCTTGAAAGATTCCAGGTCGGATATTTAAACGGTTGGATATGGTAGTGCCCCTGGTGTGACTAATGTATAGTGTTACACATGTCCATGCTGTGCCTAAGGAAATTTAATACCACAGGGGAGACTTTGTATATTTCCAAAGTAATCAATCCACGCTGCGCTAAGATTTCTACGTCGTCTCCTGCAATTTTCCAGGGTCATTTTATTTATCAATAGTTGATCTTTGCAGCCATATGAACCTCTTCTGCACCCCTTTTCTTCCAGCGGAAGAATGCTGTTTGTATCGAAAAAGGAATAAGTAAGGTTCGTCAGTACAGACGTGATCAACTGATACGTTGAGAAGAGACATGTTATTGGTCTATAATTTTTCGGGTCGTCTGTTTCAGTTGTTTTTGGTATGAGGTATGTAATACCTTCAGTAATCCATTCCGGGATTTTATTGGGATTATATACAAGCGTTGATAATGTTTTTGCAAGAATTTTATGAATAGATGAGAGATGATAAAGCCAGAAATTGGGCACCTTGTCATTTCCTGGGGATTTCCATTTTTGGGATTTCGTTAGAGCTTGCCTAACATCATCTGTGGATATATTTTCCCATTCTTGCAGAGGTGTATCCAGCATTAGTTCTTCTTCACGCTGGGCCCATTCTGCATTTGGGTTATATTCCTTTGGGCATCTCCAAATATTTTCCCAAAATGTCTGTACATTATCAATCGATGGTGGCCTTTCGACGTGTATAGGTGTTTTTCCAATTTCCCTGTAAAATTTCTTAAGATCCGTTTGGAATATTTTATTATGGCGATACAAACGTTTTTCGTATCGTCTTGTTCTCTGCGCCTTTAGCTGAAGTTTTTGCTTCAGCATTTCCTTGATTGATGGAATGTCAATTAGGGATTTAATGTTATATTTCCGTTTGATCTTTTTGCACTTGAGTGTGGAAATATTAGGGTTTCTGGTGAGCTCATCTAATATAGAAAGCTCACATCTGATTTGTTTTATTTCTCGTATCAGTTTTGTTTTCCAAGCTGGTTCTCTACGTCTGTTAATTTTATTTATTGTTTTGACCCCAAGCTTCCAAGTCGCTGCTAAAGCTGTTGTGTATATGACGTTGTTAACTTCTGTGATGTTTCCCGGTGGTTTATCTGTTAACAGTGTTTCCAGAGCAGCGTTGTATATTTTCACGACGTGCTTGTTGGAATTCGTCATATGAATT